CGGCCATTCGCGTCCGGAGTAATCTCCCGGTTTCTCCGACGAAGTTGCTTTGCCTAAAACTGCACCAGATCTGGTAAACGACTCCAGCCATTTCCTGCCGTGGCACTGGGACTCTCGCCCTGATGACCCGACGCCTAATGACTGCTCATGGTCTGTGGGAAATTTCAATTCCAAGTGGAGTGAAAAGGCAGCTGACTGTTTCCGATCCATACTTCACGTACGGAAGAGCGCACCAAACTTTTGGGTCAGTTGGATTTGGTTTCTTGTCTCTTTTGCGTACGGACCGGTTGACAAAGTTGCACGGGTAGCCATCCGCTCTAAGTATCCGACGAATATATTGTGATTCAAGATGTAATTACGCCTTTATATTGAATACGGGAATGAGAACCATGACTGGAGCAGTTCGTGGATTGCTAGCTGAATTACAATAATCAGCTGATACATTACTGCCATGGAGTCGGGAATCCCGATTTTTGACCGTCTGCTGTTCATTAAGCAAATAAGGCCTCAGATTCGCGCCCGTGTCAGCCTGTGTAGATTAAACCTTCGGGTAAAGTTATGCAAACCAAATCGTCGACTGCGATGAAAAATAACTGTATCACACCCATGAACTCTCAGACCTCAGTTTAGGGTGTGCGGGTTAGACGGACACAGATGGCAGCAATCGGTCTGTGGGTTTCAGCAAACGCTGTTATTTCTACAGCAAAAAGGCTCCGTAACAGGCCTCTGCACACGAAGCAGGAAAAGTACAAGGACAAAGAAGGTAATTCATGGATAAGACACTCACCTGCCGCCGCACACCTGACGTAGATCGTGGAGTCATTGCTAAGGACATTCATAAACACGGGCGCGGTCAAAAACAAGTCGGTATTTACTGGAGTTGAAAGGTAGGTCAGACCGGTGAGCGTGCTGATAGTGTAATATCGGATGATAGGGTCGGAGTAAGATACCAAGGTCTGCGCCATATGGTTCACATTTTCGGAGAGAAAAGTCGTCAGAGTGTGCATGGCAGCCAGCACCGCATTTGGCGGCTTTATAGTGGACTTGCTGCCTTTTGGGCTCTCTGCCGTGGGCGAGCCAGCCTGGGCGTTCGTGTAAACCAGGATGTCCAGACAAGCAAGCAGAAGGAAGAGGAAAGACGAGGAGAAAATGCTAGCCACCGTGTCCGTGGTCTCCAGTAGGTGAGGCAGGAAAGCCAGCTTGTTAGCATTGTCTGGGAACAAGAAAAGGAGATAGAAAAATATGTGGCAATGTCCGCGGAATCTTATTCAGCATCACAAACAAGCTATTTTCTGCGTGGTACCTAATCGTCCACATACACCTGAAGTAAGGGGTCTCTTTAGAAACTTCATGAGTATTCTGGAAAAATGGCATATTCATAGATACGATCTTCGTGACTCGTCAACTGGAAGAATGTCAAGGAATGAGCAGCCGTCCCTGCAACGCGTACGTCGACACTACAGACCATAATTGTGTTTGAAAAATACCGATGAAAATTGGATGTAAGGAGTTGTTTATGTAAATAGTATAAGAGTTTAACCGTACCGTCATGACGCGCGGAACAAATAGTAGATTACTCCAGGAAGCCACCGCAGTGATAATTAAACGACCTAAAAATAACACCACCTACTAAACCACCCGAAACTAAATAACACCTTAAGTAAGTAGGAAGCGCACTATCGGGGGATAGTGTCCATAACGTCTTATTCGATAACAAATTGGCACTAAACAGCAGCCACTTGGCCGAGCGTTGACCTCTTTGGCTTGGTTGCTGAAGCTTCGAATAATCAACACACAGATAAAGGCTGTTATGCACCAATTGTTCTCGACGGTGTTCCTCTCGAAGTGGTCGACTCGTTTAGATACTTGAGCTCTTTGGTCACGGAA